AAAAAAAAAAAAAAAAAAAGGGAAGTAGCTCCTGAGTTTTTATTTTTACAATTTCATTAACAGGCAGTGTCAGTAACAGACAAAAAAATACTGTAATAGTTCTTTTTTTTCATTTCTCAATATCAAAGTTATTTAAGAAGCTTTAAGTGCCATCTTGAATTTTCTACACTCAAGTTTTCATTCATTCAAAAGTTTAGTAAAAGTTCTGAGACGGTTGGCTCTACAAAAGCTAATCAACAGTAAAATGTAGTCACATGGGCACTCCACCCAGCACTCTCAGTGAGTCAACTACACTTTTTGGGGAGTGGATACTGGGGCTTGAACTCAGGACCTCACAGTTAGTTGTCAGGCAGGCGCTGTGCTGCTCAGCTATATCCCTGGTGACCACACTTCTTAAAATGACAGCAATGAAAGTCAAATTGAGCCCAAACAGTGGAATTGCTCTGTTTTGCACGACAAGATAGACGTCTATGAAAAAGGGAATCAATGTTGTAAAGTGGACAGTCACAGGAAACAAAAATAACACTATCTAAATGAAGGGAACTGCATTCAAATGGGAAAGCTTAAAAAGGTTAAGATAATTTTTTTTGACATATTTTTTTCTTTTTATTGAGTTTATTGGTACAATCTAGGTATACAATACAGTTACATTCATCCTTGGGATTCTGTACCTTTACATAATAGGTCTTGATTCTCATTTTTTCCCCTTGTCCCTGCCCTCCCTTCACCCCCTCCTCCCCTCCCCATTTACAAACACTTTATTTCCATTTTTTCAGTTTCTCATATTGTTTTCCTCTCATTACCTTTCCCCCACCCTTCCCACTTTCCCTACACCTTTAGCCCTTTACTTACTATTTCACATTATTAATTATCTCATTAGGATCCTGTGTACTATTATAGTTTTTCACACCAAAGAAACTATTCGGTATTTCAGTTAAAGAAATCTCTGTATGAACATTAAAAATAGGGAATCCTAAAATAAAACTAAAAAGGAAAGTAAAAGAGAAAAGGCAATGATATAAGATTAAAATAATCCTTAATTCTGGAGATGAAAATGGTTCCCGAACATATTTAAATTGCTTCTTGTTCTTATAGTCTTATTCTTTTTTTCATTATTTAGAGAATACTTTATTAGTTAAGGTTAAGATAATTTAATTGAGAATGTTAACATTAATGGATATGATCTGTAACAAAAAAAGAGAAAATATTGAAATATAGCATCAATAAACTAGATCAATAAACTGGTAAGGTTAAAAACACAGAGAAGCTAACCAGTTGAGAAAAAAACACATATATGTGTATCTCCTTGGAAAATCAAAAAATATATCACTAACTACAGTTAGTAAATCCACAAAAATCACACCTGGGATAACTTTAAAGGAACTATTAAAAAATAAACTATAAGGCTACTGACCACAAATTATTCAGACTCCAGAAGAAACAAAGAAAGTAGTCATTTTAATATAAAATATTAGGTTCTAAGAGAATAAGCAAATAAAAACTAAATTATAATTGCCTTGCCATATTAAAATGTTAAATGAACTAATGAGATTCTAGAACAGAAAATGGCATCAGATAGTCTCTCTAGGAATGAACTTTGTTTAACTTTAAACCAATTCTTTGTCCAGTTGTGATAGTGTATGCCTGTAATTCTAACACTTGGGAGGCAGAGGCAGGGGAACTGCTACAAATTCAAGGCCAGCCTGGGCTAAACAGTGAGTTCAAGGCCAGCCTGAACTACAGTACACAATAAAACCTGTCTCAAGCCCTCCCCCTCCAAAGAACACGTCTTTGAAGGTTTTTCAGAAAATAAAATCATTCCCCTTAGATGAGCAAAGTGGTATCTAAATTCTGCAAAAGTACTACCACAGAAATATTTGAAATATAGGAAAAAGAAAATGCTAGCAAGAGTATACAATTGTCAAAAACAAAACTTAAGTGTGAGAATTAGAGAAATAATCTGTTACATAGCTTATCAAGCTGCAACCATATAAACATAAAACTGAGGAAAAAATATCTACCAAATTGAATATATTACTAAATGAAATCTCAGAACCAACATTGAGTCAAATGTCATACTATCAATTTATATATATACTAGAATGTTTGTAATATTTAAAACTAGTTGAATACCAAATAATGCAAAATAATATAACATATTTTTAAATAATGACTAACTGTACCAATCAATCAACAGAACACTGAAAGAAAACAGTACAGTATTTCCATGCATGGAAGGAGGCTAAGGTGTTTGACAAGAGCAAATTTTGCTACCTAGGCTATGTTATGTCCTTAAATCTTTATGCTCCCAACACATACCTTCTCCTGATGCTCAGCCAGTCTTATTTTACATAAAACCATTCTAACAGCACTTATTATTAAAATTAAATATTAACATATCAGCCTGGCTTACAGATATATTGTCAGATATATTACCCTATTAGTAGGTATTTTAAGTAATAAGTGCTGAAGTTTTTATGTATTCTCTCTTCTGCCAATTTCTAGCCTTGAGGAAAGAGTACTATGGTAGAAGACTCAGAGGAAAGCAAGAGGATCTCCAGGCTGAGGCAACGCCCAAGGGCACAGAATCTAAACGTAGTTTTACTGTGTCAGCACTAGTGGTGCCACTGGTAGGTTTATTTGGGTAACATCCCTGGAAACTAAAATTGCTGGAAGCCAGAACTGGTCCAAGAAAGCAATGACGTTAACTAGAACAGTCATATAGACCAGCAGCTAGAACTCACTACAAATCTGCTCTACTCATTCATGCTACCGAATGTGTAGGTGTGCAGCTTGTAATCATGTAGTTTAGGGATGTTCTACATAGCAGGAAAACAAGAGACATGCCGAGATCTATTAGGCCAGCTCATTACTTACATACACAGTATTCTTCACTTTAGCTCCTGGATTGTTACTTAGACCTATGTATGTATTTGCTGCTTTTAAGATAAACGATCTTTATGCCAAACTTAACATCTGAATGAGGCAGATACTAAGGCTTAGTATTCACAATAAATGACTAAGAGGGAGAACAAATTCCCTAGCTTACCACCTTAGTTAGTTAGCACTACCCTCCAACGCCTATCCTTAGTGCTCAATGAAACACAACCATGATATTCAACAAAGATTTACTGAATAAGGATATTAACAGCATTTTACTAGCTATTAAAAGTAGTCATTGAGATTAGAACCATTTTCTAGATATATTCTAAACAAGAATTTTCAGTAAACACTGAGTTACTGCTATCTCAGTTCACAAAATACAATTAGTGAAAAGTTTGTAAATTTATTTCCCTAACTGAAGAAAATCGCCCTTAAAAGTTCAAGCAGAGCTAATTGTGACTATTCTTATCTACAGCGTAGTTCTACTCCATACTATCAAGTAAATTATAATCTTTATAACCCAAACACTTAAGAATTTGTCAATTACCACTGCTTCTATGAAGACAAACAGCACGGTAAAACACAAGTGAATGACTTTTTTTTTTTTTTTTTGAATGACATATATTCACTGGTGTTTTAGTATTACTTTCCTGTCAGTCAGGAGATAAATGATTAGTACTAAACGCGCCTCCAACAGAAATCTAATTTATAGCCTGCGAAAATCACTAGCAGGCTGCACAGGCTTTCTGCACGCCACCTTTCAATGTCAACAGCATGAGCTTCATGAATCATGACTGGACCACATCTGTGTGAGAGAAAAGTTGTGGTTCTGGTTTACACTGTCAAGAAATTGTTTCCAATGCCCTGTTTTTTAACCCACCAAAATGAATATGGAAACTACATTTAGTACCACAGTGCCTCCTTTACAAGGAACCATGAGTCTTGATTTACCTTTCCTTCCAAGTTCAACTGCTGCATTTCTTGGTCACTATTTCCTATTCCAATAAATGCACATGGCTGAGACTCTTGCTCAGAACAACCATCGCGTTCCATTTGTTCTTTTTTTTTCTTCCATCCACTGCCCATAAGATATACACAAGGCGGAGGGCAAAAAAACCTGAAAAGAATAATGTGGAAAAAGACCCCCAAAACATAAGTAATTAGATTCAAGACAATTCCTTTTCTTGATCATATGAAAACAAAATCATACAGAAATGCTCACTCAACTGGCTCCTAATGAAAAATTCTGGTGAAGCCTTCTATAAAGGAAATAATCATGTGCATAGGATAGAAATCAACTTCCACATCTCTTTAAATTTTCACATAGGTGAAACGTCTGCACTAGTTCAGAAGTGAAATGTACAAAATACGATATACCATCACAGACTGTGTGATTACTAATTAAGGTCTATTCAAAGTAAGTTATTAATTAATTCCCTTATTCTTATGGGTATTAAACTTTATTTGGTAATTAATGTGGAATATAGCATGAGAGGAATGCCTCAAAATGGATCACTGGAGTATGAACCTTGCAAGGGCGTGCTGTTCTGTTTATATTTTCTCAACACCCAGGGCACTATAAATGGCTGAGAAATGTTTTGCTAAAAGAACAATACACTATATCCTTTCAATTCAGAGTAACAGGTTTGTTTTGTTTTGTTAGGGCCAAAATAAATGCCCTCACAAATTCTTCCCACCTAGAATGACTTCCTTATAATCTTCTCTCTAGCAATTAAAAAAAAAAAAAAGATTTCAAAGCCTAGCTCAAGCTCCATAGTTTTCAGAGTTTGGACCATAAATCTACTCCCTATGTAGGGTGTAATTCTCTTCTGCTCAATTATACCTGATGTTTATGTCATATCTCTCACCATGGGGCCTGAAAACCCACAATTCCTACAGTTAAGTAATATGAATGAATGACCTGGGCATACAATAAACAAGCAGGAATACCCTTTAATTACCTAAAGATATAGGCTTCTTCCTCTGTTTCTTAAAACAAACAGCACTCACAATAATTCCTACTTTTTATAGTTATGAGTAAAGAAAAAATGCTTCTTTTGTTAATCCAACCCTAAGAAAAATAAGAGTTTAAGTGCAATGATAACAGCCCCTCTTGCAAGGTTCTCATTATAAGTGGCCCAATGTGTGAATGAATACACATCCACTCACGCTGATGAACCATGGATAGATTAGATGGACCTAGTCGTGGTCACACTGCCCAACTGTTCAACATACTTCTGAAATAAAATTTTATGTAAAGTTCCAATTTAAAGTCTGACAACCAATTTATACTTGTTATACTCTGGGCCCACAGCGCAGAGTAAAAGGAAAACCATTGATGTGCACGTAAACACCTGTACATATGTGCATACACAGGCACCTGCAGGCTGGTTCTGGCTCACCGGCTTTCCTGGTTGTTAAAAGGTGTGGGCTTCTTGTTTGGCTTCACCCTTAGTGCCTACTAAGATATCGACAGAATTGACTCCAACTACCATGGCACCTTTCTTCAATGCTAACCCGACTACTTCATAAAGCAATTTACACCTAACTTATGAGTAGTTCAGTTTACTTAATACTGATTAGTTCTCCAAATTATTTATTACTTCTCAAGTGTGTACCAGACTCTGGGAATATAGTTAAATTAAACAAACAAAAACAACAAAACAAAACAGCAGACAAAACTCTTCATGGAATTTTTATCATAAGAGGAAAAGTCACAACAACAAAAAAGACAAATGAGTAAAATAATGTGCATACTTTATTAGCTCATAATAAGCGCTGAGAGGAAAAAAAGTAAGGAGTCAAGCCGGGCATGGTGACCCATGCCTATAGTCCCAGCACTTGGGAGGCTGAGGCAGGAGGATCGCTGTGAGTTCGAGACCAGCCTGGGCTACATAGTGAGTTCCAGGTCAGTCTCAACTACATAGCGAAACCCTGTCTCAAAAAACAAAAAACAAACAAACAAAAGAGCCATAAAGTTCTTGAGATATGAGTTGTCTGGGAATGGCTAGGTACAGCACCCTTTAAGAGGTAACTTTAAGTCACAATCTAAAGTCACGTGGCTATCTGGGATCACAGCATTTTGCCAGAGGAAAGAACAAGTGCAAAGAGAAATACACCAGCGTGGTAGGTAGACAGGGGAGGGAGATTAACAGGAGATGGACTGACGGGTAAATAAACCAAGTGGGCCCCAGAGATCAAACAGAGCGAGGGGGAAGCCTTTGTGTCTTCTCCTATTTACCCAAGCGTCCAACAGAAAAGAACAGCAGCTTTCACGCTGCATGCTCATACGAGGGCCATGGACGTAAAGGTCACAGCCAAGGTGGTGGGTCAGCTCTGCCTCACTCAGGTCTGAGGGTGCCTGCTCAGGTGGGCTATTTCTGGAGCCAGTTCAGGTTAAGTCTACATCACAGATCTATCTGGTATCTAGTGCTGGGAACAACTCAATGCTTACCCTGGCACAGGTTCAAATACCTAGGTTGGCACACTCTCAGGGGGCTAGGAAGGCACCAATTTTGGAAACCTGTGTCTTGTTAGTATTTTCTTGAACACTGCTATTAAGACCCCTTAGTAAATTGGCATATAGCTGTAAATACAAAGAGCTGTGCTTTAGTATTATATAGTATACAGAAGTAGCAGTCAAATCTAAATGAGTTCTCTCAAACTGTAATTTTATTTCTCATCTGAAAATAAAAAGGGAACTGAACAAAAGACTTAGTGCTGGCTTTCTGAAGTACTGTGCCAAAATTCATAAAACTAAGAGGGTATAAAATTAAACAAGTAGCTAAAAAAATCCTGTATTCAAAACACTGATCAAGGTTTTATCTTGAAAGGGCTTCAATTAATTATGTAATAAAAATTTTAAAATGAAGGACTTTTCAATAGCCTATGAGCTAGCCTTTTTTAATATCAAACCCATAATTATTCAAAGAAAGTGGTGATACAGGAAAACAGTGAATCCAACAGAACGTAAAGATTGATTATTTCCTTAAGGTACTGATGAAAATCCTATCTTAATGCCATTCCCTAAAAATGAAGTGAATAAAATTTTCATTTCCACAGACTTCCACAGTGATATAGTCATAAAAAGATAAGCATATATACAAAAAAAGGGAACCAGCCAAAGAAAATTAAAGGGAATATGAGTAAGAATAAAAGGTCACATAATTAAGGAAGAAAAATTAAAATGTCTCTAGAAAGGTGTGTGAAACTGATTTTTAAAAATCTGAACAGTTGGTCATTATTTACTAAGTAGTAAAAATTTTGATTAGTAAGGAGGTTGTTTACAGTTTATTCACTGCTATAAAAAGATTCCTATGAAACTATGTTGCCCTTAGTTTTTCATTTCCCCATATCTCTAAGCAACTATGATCAGCAATAAATTCTCTGCCACTTGGTGGCGATATGCACCCACTTAAGATTTCCTTCACTTTACAGTTTTGTTCAATCAGTATTTTCAGAGTACGATACAACAATTTTTTTCTCAAATCCTGAGATCTGGAAAACACCTTACAGATTCAAGGCTTTTTACTCATCTAATATATAAAATATGTGGTTAGACAAATCCAAACTCATTTACATTATCTATCTCTGCCAAATCATTACTGATAATTATTCAGTTCAAAAGGACCATGTTTGGGAACTTTTTGCACACCATTTACTTCAATTAATGTAACTCAATGTGACTTCAGCATCACAGTCTAAGTGTCTAAATGGTTTTAACAATAGTTTCAACAGCACCACTATTATTGCTTATTTACCCTGAAACAAAGTTGAATGTTAATATGTCGATGGCATATTTATTTATATCTCCTCTAGAGAAAACAATCTTTTTTTTTTTTTTGGTACTGGGGATTGAACTCGGGTCCTTGCACTTGCAAGGCAGGTGGCAGCACCACTGAACTAAATCCCCAGCCCCAAAACAATCTTTTAAAAAGTTTGTTTTTTAACCTGGGAAGAAATTCTTTAATGAAAAATTCAAACTAACCACTAAAATAAATGGGATAATAGATGTGCAAGTAGGTTGTTATTAGGCACAAAAGTATCAAGGATAATTTAAATTTTCAAATGAATGCTTTTGCCATCATTCACTGGAGTTATTTTATATGCGAAAGGGAGATGGCCAAAAGGATTGTGGTCATGTCCCAAAGTAACCTCAAGCCATTGCAGCTCTTCAGAGACCGGAACCCGATGAATGAGAAAGTGGGCAGAGCTCTCTGTTCACTGTTGACAACCTGACAGACCTCCTTGTTTCATCCTCAAAGAAGGCTCAGCAGAGACTGCCAGTCATCAGACACCTGGCTTAGAATTTGCAGTCCCTTACTACTAATGCTTTTTCAAAATTAAGTAAACTTCAATGGGTTTCCTCCTTTGTCACAAAGGAGTGTATGTTTAGCTGGGTATTCAAGTTTAAAATTAGAAAGTAGTTCTTGCCTTTTATCATTTTTTCTTCATATTTTAGATGTAAAAAGCATAAATTCTCCAAGTGTCTGGATGGGGGTATGGACTGGCTCAACCACACCCAATAATAGAAAAATATGGAAAATAAAAGACACTGTAATGGCTAACTTGATAAGCCACTGCAGCTCTGTATTATGTATATATATTTAACTGTGATTAACAAACAGGAACTGTAAGTGGACTTTCACATTTTCCAAACAGATCATCCCTGTTACTACTTCACCGAGCCTCAGTAATCCATCATATTATTAAATGGAATGGTGACTTAAGTTCCTTTTGAATAGCACCTGGCACTTAACAGGTGATCAGAAATAAATTAACAAATGAATGCAACTGTAGAAAATGCATCTTTAAAACTCCAGAAAGAGAAAAGGTGCACCAGCCACTTTTGGAGCCCTCTGATAAACATACCTCTCTTCATAATTCATTAGATCCAGTCCAGTCTCTCACATAGCTAACGGTGAATGAGATGATCCTAAATCAAGTTCACAGGGTCTACGTTTTTCAGATGTCTTTCCTTCTTCCTCAATCCTTCTGTAGCTAACCAGTGGAAAGCTCTAACATTTAGAGCTATATAGACTGAGAATTCACGTGATTTAATCAGCAACAAGTAAGCAAATTAATATAGATGTGTAATCTTTTTAAAAATAGGGAAATAAAATAAGAAATTTGGAATTAATCTCAGGAGTTCCAAACCTTGCTTCAATGATTCTAATTGTGAGCATGTTTAAAGTCTCTGGTTTTTAGTTTCCCTACCCAAAGCATGGAGATTTTTAACAACCCTATTTTCCAATACTACTCTGAGGGTTAAATTTTAAAAACATTGGTAAAGCACTTCTCTCTGGCTTACAAGCAGAGCTGATATGGAAATCATTTTCACTTTAGATTCATTATGAGGGTCACAGCTAGTCTTTCAGATCTGTCTTTAGGTATGAGGATGTTGACTCTTGATCCGCTTAGAAAACAAATTACCTGCTATGTGCACACACTAAATTTCATTATTTTTTAAAACTACTCAATTTCCAGTATCAATTTTATGAAAAAAGGGCAGCTTCCTTAATTTGGTTTTCTATGTCCCAAACTTCTTCCTATATATTTAACTCTACACCAGTGAACTAAGTTTTATTATTAAAGTAAAACAATTGGAAATTTTGTAAACCTGAATTACAACAGATTTTAAAATACACTTGAAAAAAAAAGAGAAAGAAATGAAGACCTTTATCCCTGGTATCAAAAAAAGAAAAAAAAAAAACCCGGAAAAGAACCTCGAGTCTTAAATATTGTTTGCATTTGTTTATCCTCTTTGAGGACAAAAATTATCAACTAAAAAGCTTCACCTCCTTTTCAACTCAGATTTAGATGACTCCAAGAAAGGGAACTCTTTATTTTCTTCTACCATGTAAATTAATTTAATTATATGCTTAGTTTCCCCACTCTTATGCATATGCTGAACGTTTCCTTTTTGTTACAAATTCTTTTAAAATTCTAATCCACAAACCTGGATTTCAAGTCTTTACACCATTTCAGTTTGGTTCCTTTCTAGCCAACCCAAAAAACCCCTGATCTTTAGCCCAAATGCAAGCTCTTAAATGCTTAAATAAAAACTGCTATGCCAGTTGGGCTTGGTGGCCACACACCAGTAATTCCAGCACTCTGGGAGGGTAAGGCAGGAGGACCATAAGAAGCTTGAACCCAGCCTGGTCAACTGAGTGACTAGCAAGGCCCTGTCTCAAAATAAAAAATAAAAAGGGCTGGGAATATAAAGTGAAGGCCCTGGATTCAATCCTTAGTATCAAGGGGGGAAAAAAACCAAACCAAAACAAAAACAGAAAAGACCAGTTCTTCAGAAAGACTCAAGAAAATTCCAGGAACCACGTGAATAAACAAGGCGTATCTCCATTGTAGATTATGTGATTACTAAAACCAGAGGCCCTGGGTTTACTTCCTAGCATCTTCCCCACAAAACAACAACAACATATTCAACTGCACCATAAATGATTATTTTAGGACTAGGGATATAGCTCAGAAGTAGAGCACTTACACAATATGCATAAGGCCCTGGCCTGGGGTTTGATGCCCAGCATCAATGCAAGAACAAAACAGTCCAGCAGAAGTCCACGATTACACTCACTGGTATACACATTCACATACACAGGTGAAATTTATAAAATAACATGAGAAATAATTAATGTAAAGATCACTGTTATAGTTTAATTTTGGCCAATTAGCTTCACAGATAATTTCTGTGCCACTTATATTTGGGTGGCATGAAAATATAAACATAGTTTCTTTCTTTTTTTAAAAAAACAATATCTTTTTAGGGTGCCCAAGCTGGCCCACAGCTTCTGGGTTCAAGGGATCCAACTGCTTCAGCCACTGGAACTACAGTTTCTTAACAACCAGAGCAGACTCTGGGTTCAGAAGGGATTGTGGGAATGACATGGGAGCCCTTTTCTTTACAGAGGCTCCATAGCACAACTCTTTCTTGAGTTCAATTTAGGATCAAGATTTGTTTAACTTTTCCTTTTTAAAATGCTACTTTGGGGGTTGCATCACGTTATAAAAAGCTATTTCTACCAAAAGAAAAGGTGTTTATTTGTATGTGTGTTTTTTTTTTTTCAAGCAGGGTCTCATTCTGTAGCCCAGGCTAGCCTAGAACTTGAGCTCCTTCTGCCTCAGTCTCTTCAATGCTGGGATTACAGGTGTGCACAACCATGCCCTGTAGTAAAACTTTTTTGTGAATGAGCTAATGCATCGCTGAAATAATTGGGAAAGCAGCCCTAATTATTTCATTTTGTAAAATCTGGGATTTATCAAGATGATCTTTATTAAATTTTCCTAGTGGATTGAGCATGCCACAAGTAAGTTTGTTTTACTCCTTCAAGAGACACTTTTTTTTTCATTTTGTATAAGGCAAATTAACTGTAACAGAAACCATCCTCAGACATAAATACTAAAACATTACTTGGAAATGAATGTGATAACTATAATTAACTATTGACCATAATAAAATCAGTAATCTTACCTTTTTTCATTTCCATATGACTTCTGTGCAACTTTTGCATGAAGAATAAGTACTGTTTGATCCCCTCGCTCTTTTAAATAATTTCGCATAGCTTCCCTAAAATCAAATATAAATATTACAATTACAGGGTAAAGTTTTTGATGAAACATTTTTCTGTATTATGCTCTGTAATGAAAAGAATGCTTATCATATTTTTAAGTACATAAACTTAAAAGACAAAAATAAATGAAAACAAATCCATGAATTAAGTTTAAAGTATAGTATACAATAAATACTCCCTCTATCTTCAACTCTGTATTTTGTTCTTTAGAAGGAACTATTCTTTACTACCTATCATGTTGGCTCAAACCACAACTACACTTCTAGAATAATTTCAATCAACATTTACATTGCTAATGTAGCTTGCAATATTTTTTTGTAACTTAATCTTGCTCCTTCCCCTTCTCCCCCTACCCAGCTATTGGAAGTTTTCAAGCCATAGTAAAACATAAATCATCCTAATGCATCATTAATCCTACTTAAGAACTAAGAAATAACTATCATTTATATACAAATAGTTACTTGAAAGATTTTAACTAAATACACAAAATTTAACAGTCTAACTGAAATTAGTGAAAAATGGATTAAACTTTGGAAAACTATTAGGTCTTTCAAGTACAAACTACATATTAAGCAAATATTCTATAAAATGTATAGTATATTAAATATTCATCCAATTATTTCACTAATATATAGTATAAAGAAAGCAAGCTCAGCACAGATCAAAACTATAACAATTCTGAATCAGCAGAAATCCAATTCTGGTGATTTTTAGATATCACAAAATTAAAGATGCTTCAAAGATAAAATCAAAAAATTCTTTCATCGAATTTAAACATGCTATTTATATTATAAAGACAACTATAAAATGTAAGGGGACATCCACATACAATAGCACTAAGTTATGAAATGTGGGAATTCTCTATCTGTGTCCTGACACAGTAAGGGCTTTGGGAACAGTTTATCCAGCTTCGATGTAGAAACTGAAGATAACACCATTTACTTAACACAGGGTAGCTGTAGGTATTAATGAGAAAACCTAGCATTATATCTACTAACTGGAACATCTGCTAACTACAAGTCATGGCAAGTAATACCAGGATAAAAGACTGAGAACTAATCTCTGCTCCAATAGAGGAACTCAAAGTCCAAAGAGTAATGAAATACAACGATCCAGAAATGTATACAAAAAGCACCAAAATAAGCGAACGCCAATGTAAAGGAAAGCGTGTGTGTTAAAGGACTATGGGCTAGGAAGAGTTTCAACAGGAAATGGGAAGAAGAGAGAATAAGGCATTCTGGGAATTGAGAGTAGTATGTATGGTCAAGGCACAATGAACTCCAAACACCAGGCACAGTGATCTCTCAGATGAGGAGTAAGGCAGGCACACGAGCAGTTAATGCTTCCTGAGTATTTACTATGTGCCAAATCTTGGACTAAGCACTTTAAATGCTGTACTTAATTTAATCCTCATAATCCAAAAAGTACTGCTAATTCCTCTTTGACTGACTTGTCCAAGGTCTTGCAATGAACAAATAGTGGTTAGGAATTGAAATAAACTGCAAGATTCTAAAGAGAACTATCACGGAGACTAAGGCTAACAAGATGAGTAGACTCAAATTGTGAAAGGCCTTCAAAATTGGACATTGGTAAACTTAAAGTATAAGTATAAAGGTTTAATATCAAACATGAGATGATGATAAAAGTGGCAGTAGGTTAAGATATCTGGGGGAAAACTTACAACATTTACTAAAAGAAGGAAAAAAGAAAAAGAAAAAAAAATTCACCTCTTAGTGAACTGTGACAAGATCATTATTCAATTCTTTCTCAATCCATCAGAGAAAAACATGCTGTTGAACCTGGATTTCAATCTAACCTAAAGAGTGAGGTTATACTGACTGAGAATTCTTGAGCTTTTTACACACTTAATTTTTTTTTTTTTTTTAGTCACTTCTAGACAAAGTCCTAGAAAACATAGAGAGAAGACAAACTTGTAAAAAGGCTGTCACACTAAGGAAATAACAGAAGACAGGGAGCAAAGACTGGAAAATAGTTTATACATTTTGTTTTGGGAGAAGCAGCTGTGTGAAGAATCCCCCGATAGTTCTGCTTTGGAAACATTCACAAGGCTGTTGGAAGCACCCACTGACAAGAGTTCAAAACCAAGGGCTACAAAAGCAGGGTTCACTGGTGGCAAATGAAGCCATGAAGGAGAATGAAATCTCCTAGGAGAAAACTGCAGTAATAGAAAAATCAAAAGGAAATGTATAAAAGGAAATGGAGAACTGGCTACAGGATGGGGTTCCAAGCATGATGAGGCCCTAGATTTGATCTTCAGCCCTGCAAGGAAGAGGGAAGCATTGCTAAGATGTAGAACACTAAGGCTGTGTCTTTGCATGCAGCAAGAAGCCTAAAGGATGCCAACAAGGGAAGGAAGGGGGAGTTGAAAACTAAAGACATCTATTTTATTTACAACATGACAGGTCATAGTGACATCTAATGGGTTAAAAAAAGAGAAATAAATATTTGGAAATATCCAAAAGGGAACAGAAAAGGAAGTTGACAATGGACTGAAATGAAGATTTATCTTAAAGGACCAGTTAATGCTGGAATACAAAAGTAATGGTACAATTCATACTAACACCGTGGACACAAATGGTATGTTCTCCAACCTGCTGGGTCCTAGACAGGATGACAATGATAAATGCTAAGTTATGTAACTAATCAAAGAGTTCAAGGTGTATAAAAAACAAAAGCAAAGTCAGGAGAAAATGAATAACATGACAAAATCCCTGGCATAAAACTTGGAAGGTTGCTTAGGGATAATGGAAAGGAGGAGGGGAAAAAAAAAGCCTCCTCAAGCAACAAATATTTCTCAAAGCAAATTCTATTTGCATTTCCAGCAACCACAGTACTTGATTGTATGTTGATCAAGTTTCATGTTTACTTTTCTTATCTTCCCAAAGAGACTACAAAATCTTTAAAGGCAAAACCATATAATACCTGAGGCAGTCAGAAAAATTTCTACAAAGAATATATTAATTATAATCATTAAAAGAGCTAAAACTAAGCAACCACTATGTGCCAGTACTATTCTAAACATGTATTAACATAACCAACAAGCTTGGGAGTGACACAGTATTACATAGCAGATTTTAGAATTGGGGAGAGGTTAAGTAACTTTACTAAGATGATTCGGAAGGGCAGTCAAACTCAGAGAGTGTGGCTCTTGAGGACAAAACTATACTATCAAAAGTTTTGTAGTACTTAAGAGCACAGCTTTGGGTATGAAACAGAAAAGGGTCGGAATTAACTTGTTACTTACTAACCTTGAGTTTTCAACCCTGTAAAAGTCAGTGTGGAAAAATTAAAATGTTAGCCCCGCACCCACAGACATACAGTAAATGTCAGTGCATTCCAGATATTTTATTTCCTTAGAAAGGTACTTTCATCTTTTAATACAGCAACTACACAGGGTGCAGGGAATGGGGACTTCCATAAAATCTGTGAATGATCATGCATCTTATCTAACTTGCAAAGCACATTTAGCCTTCTTCCTTATGAAGATTTATTGAACACCTTCTATGCCCTAGGCACTTGGCACTGTGGCAATTTCCAGTGCTGGAAATAACTAGTAGCAATTAGAATCATCTCAGGATGTTTATGATGAATTCAGGATGAGAGCCCTGAATTTTCCTTGTGTCTTTTCAGTCACAGAATACAAACTTCTGACAAAGTAATTAGAGCCTCAAGTAATAGTTCCTAGTAATAGTTGTGTATGTCAGAAATTTGCCAAATAGCTTCTTTCAATAAGAAAAATAAAATTTGTTTTACTAATGGTATATTAAACACTAGAAATTATATCTTCTGCTAATTAAAGCTTGTCTTATTGCACCTTAAGTAGTCATTAAAATATATAATATATGCTAAAGAAATACAAATAGTAAACCCCACGGACCGACAGCCCATATATTTTGCATCCGAAGGTAAGTAGGGTTTCTATTTCAGCACTGTTAACACTTTGGGTAAAATAACTGCTGCTTGAAGGAGAATGTCCAGTCCCTTGTAAGATGTCTAGCAGCATCTCTACCTTCTACCCACAGCTTTTACTATTCCTCAAATTGTGACAATCAAAAATGTCTCCCAGTACTGCCAAATGCTGGGGCAGACAGAAGAGAGGGGTGGTGTCACATGGGTTGAAAACCAAGAGTGTAAACCAAAAATATTCCAATGATAAGGTCCCACAATCATCTAATATCTTTTTTAAAAGAATGGCAGAAATTGTAGTTTTTGACAAACACCAGGCAGGTACTGAATAATCCTTACCAGCACAATTATAGTATTGCCCTTTAAATACAGTTTCACTTTCCGTGGCTTCAAGTATCGACCATAACTTGCGATCTCAAAATACTACTATTTGTTTTGATTCTTTCAAGAGATATATCTACATGACTTTTCCTACAGTAAATTGTTGTAATTGTTTTAGCTTATTATTGACTAATGTTGCTAATCTCTTCCTGTGCCTACTTCACAAATTAAACTTTATCACAAGTATGGAGCCATAGGAAAAAACATAGCATACATAGTATTTGCTACTATTCTCAGTTTTAGGCATCTATGGGTTCATCTTGGAACCTTATCCTGGGGTAAGAGGGGACTACTGTACTTGGTTCTTTCAGAAAAAGATGTCTGTTCATCCTGCAGAGAATTTTAAAAATTAACAAATTTTTAAAGGGGTATTGCAAAACAGAATGGCATTCTAAACTTTCAAATCAATTAGGTATACTGCATGGTTGACATTTAATGAAGCTTTTTTTTTAAAACTCCCTCACCCTAGGACTCAGAGAAAGCTGAAACTTCAGAAATCTCAGCTGGACTTCACACTTCTACTTCTGAATGCTGCCAAAAGGCATCCAGATTTATACTAGCAACCTTTTCTCCACAGAAAACCCTTAACAAACTATGCTATTTTTGTCAGGTTCTGGCAGTTTAATCTTTCATACTCTTAAATACTCCTCAAATCCAGTTTCACAATAGTTATGGTTTACTGTGGAGA